GAAGGGACCCTGGCAGGTCTGCACCAGCCACTCCTGGAGCTTTTTGTCACAGCCACCACCAGTGAGGGGTGAAAGAAGGGATGGACTTGTTGGTGCCTTGTCAGACTGTGACTTCCCACACGCAGAGTATCAGGAAGCTCTTTGGGCTTTTTTTATGAGCCTGACTTTCCTCAGTTTCCCTCAGGAATTCCCCCCTTGCACCTTTCCTTCAGTGACCTGCACAGCCAGCCCAGCGTGCCCTGGAGCTGTGGGGCAGTGCTGTGAACCCCCCAGTGAACACTGCTCCCCAGCTCTGTTACCTGTGCTGCACCCACTGACCTCTTCCTGCCCCACAGAACAGGGGCCTGGGTCCCAGATTACCCAAAATATTCCCCCCTGCTTTGTTGCACACTTACCTACATTGTGTGAGGCAGCCAGCCCTGCACACCACAGACAGGTGCTGGTGCCCAGAGGAGTGCTGAGTGCTCCTCACTGATGTGTGGCTGTGTGCTCCACTCTGCAACCCTGGAAATAAACTGGGAGACACATCCCAGCTCCTTTGTGCACTTCCTCACTGCACACCCAGGCTCTGGCATCTGGCTTCCTGCACGGTGACAGGTTTCTGATGAAGGTGACAAACTTCTCCTCATCCAATCTCTGTTACATTCTCTGAGGAGAGCAGAATCATCACCCTTGAGGAGCAGCCTCTGAAGAAGTGAAGCTCCTCAGCTAAGGATGGTTGCAGTTTGGCTTGCCTGGTGTTTGTGTTGGTTCAGGACAGGATGCCAGCTACATTCCTCTGTCACCAGCTGGACATCACAGCCCATGTACAATCAGCAGCTATTGAAAAGTTCTGCCCAGCTTCTGTTGGGAGACACTTGAAAGCAGCTCTGTCCAAACAGCCACGTGCAGCTCTTCAGAACGAGGCATTTTCATCACAGGTTTGGGCTACACAGCCATGAAAACACCCTCAGGCAAACTGACTGGAACCACACCCCAGGTGACTCCAGGCCCAGGCAGCCTTCACCAACAGAGGGCTCATGGATTCCAGCAGTGTCACAGAAGGCAAATCCTCCTCCAAACCATCAGGACTTCTATTTCTTAGATTAAGTTTCCATCCCTGCAACAAATCTCACTGCCTCAGATTACCTGCCTTGGATGGGAGGAGCACCCTGGAGATCGTTTCTGAGCACTCAGTGCCAGTGAATTCTCAAAGAGCAGGACCCACAGGGAGAGCCCTGCTGGGCAGAGCATTGGCTGCTTTGCTGTCACCACATTTTGTTGTCATTGATGGCTAAAAAGTGCAAGGCAGGCATCTAATTCATCACACCTATTCTGCAGTGTATAGAATCCACCGTGGGCTATGCCAGGTACACAATGTAGAGTAATTGTTTGTTTTTAGGCATCAAGAGTACAGTATTTTAATTACAGCTTATACTGAGTTGCATTCAGGTAGCTATTTGCTTGACAGGGGACATTTTAAGCTGAAGAGCTGACCATGCAAGCACGACAGAGTTAAGACAAACCCTTCCTGCTAAACCTCAGATGAGATCTGGATCAAACGCCTCTGGACACAAAAGTTTGGATGAGTGGGAGCAAAGAGCAGCAGAGACACAGTTTGCTTAGGCTCAGCCCAGAAGTTCCTGCAGTTTGACACATGATGCTGGCAGTGAGAGGGTGGTCAGCTTTCTATGCTTCAGGGCTGCATGTTTTTTTTGTGAAAAGAAGAAGAAAAAAGCCTTTGTCTCATCCCTTCTTTCAGCGGGTTTTCGTGTCCCGTCATTCCTGTGAGCCAGAGTTTGACCTGGTGACTCCTGGGGAATGGGATCCTCTCCCAACCATCTCCTGTCCCCACTCCTTGTGGCTGGACTCCTGTAAGCCACGACCTTTTGTTTCAATGGGCAGGAAGCAGGAAGCCAGAGCAGCCAGCAGGCAACAGCCACTGTAAACCACCAGTGTCAGGTAGACTGAAGATTCCAACATCACCTGCAGAAAAAAGGCAGAAAGTACAAAACCTGAGTGCAGAAGGAAATGCAGACACTAAAGCAGGAGTGGAGATTCTGATTCCAGCCCTGGAAGAAGTGTTGAACGTGTGCTGCTGCACACTCCCTCTCCTCAGTGAGGACACAAGCCACCAAACACTGACAGGAGAGTCTGGGTGACAAGTGCCACGAGGTGCTGCTGCCCTTATGGACTAGATGGGACTGAAGCAAATCCCAAATCTTCTACCTAGCCCTCTGCAGAGCTGCTGCCTCTGATGGCATCTCCTGAGCCCTGTCCCTGTGGAGCCTGCCCCTCCACAACCTCCCTGTTGAGCTCTTCCCACACACACTGAAGCTTTGTAGCCCCCCCAGACCTCAGCCTGGGATCTCAAGGGAAAGGTGGCTTTGCAGCAGGCACAGAAATTCCCTGCTTCTCATGAAGCCCACCTCCAGGTGGTGGCTTCCAAGGTGTCCTGACCTCCACCCAGCACCTTGCTTCTGGGTGATTTACCCCCCAGCATATGGAGCTCTGGAGTGAGAGGTAAATGCAGAGAGGAGCCTGAAATCTCCTCACACAACAGGCAACAACCACCCTCACGTGCTGATTGCCCTCGGTGTGGCCCTGAGAGCAGGAGAGCAGGTTCTGCATCACCTTCCTGAGCCTTCAGCCTCAGGGGGGGGAGAAGGAGGAGGAGGAGGAGGAGGAGGAAGACTTTACCTGTGCAATGAAGGGAGTTATGAGGGCTCCCACTCGGGCCATTCCACTGCAGGTCCCCAGGCCCAAAGCACGTGTGGCTGTTGGATAAACCTGTGAACAAAGCAGCAGTCTATTAACCCAGGGGGAGTTCTCCCCCCTCCAACCTCCTAAACCAATGGAAAACTAGTAAGTGGTACTAGAGCAAGTTCTGTTAGACAATGACAATGAGATCATCAACTCAAATCTGGGGTAAGGTCCATTGTGAAGAGGTCAGAAAAATGACTTTCCCACCATGTTCTCACTCCCCTTAAATATTCTCATGACAAAAAACAACCTCCTTACCTCAGGAGTGTAAACATAAGCAGCCTGAAATCCTCCTGAAATAAAAGCTCTTGCAATGAAGAGCAGCACAGTAAGAACATTTCTGTGAGAATAAAAAGGAGAGCAGTGTTTGGGATTGTTCTGTACAAGCTGTTTGTTTGTTTAACTTGGAGGCAAGTGCAATAAAAATGCTAAATTGGTTAGAACATTATCTTTGTTTTTTTTTAATGAACCCTTTGTATTTTTTCTGGACCTTTACTATAACCAGGATGCCAAACAATCTGCATTCCCACAACCACATCAGTCTTCTAAGTGGATTCATTCTAACCAACAGCTGTGGCCTGTTGAAATAAGCAGCAAATGCCCCAATTTATTGACAAAAGGAAAAGATATTAATTGTTATGGGTGGTGCTAACAAAAGAATGGCACACATGAGAAGGAAAGGAGAGCACAGTGTAAAAGACATGAACCTCTGCACCACCTGGGTCTCTGCATCTTTGTGAGGGTTTTGCAGGGTGCCTGGAAAGGTTTCAATTCAGCCATCTCTCTGCTGGTTGTTGGGTCATTCCCGTGTTCCTCAGCCCCAAGGGAGGGACCCTGCCACATGCCTGGGCCATGAAGGCTGGACACAGCCAGGGGCAGACCCCCAGAGCTCAGCTGTTGATTTGGAACCATTAAGATCTGAGGGCAGAGCTGCCAGCTGAGTTGTTCTTTCAAGAATCTGCATGAAGGATTTGGGAATCTAAGTTCTTTTGAAAGTTGAGCCCCCTTTATCTGCAATGCCAGCATCGAGCTCCAGAGGTTCACCTTCTCCAATGGCTACCTTCTAGTCAGACATAAACTCTTATCTCCCCCTTTGCACTGCTGTCTGGAAGACTACAGTGAAGGATTTCTCCTCTCCTGCTTCTTTAGTTTCCTTCCAAACTGTGCTGAGAAAACCTAACACCATCCTTAACTCTTCCTCCGGCTTCGCACGACCAGCTTTTCCAACCACTTCCAGTTCTCCTGCCCCAATCCAGGGAGGACATGGATGAATTGGGTAGATGAGTTGTTCACTGTGTTTCACTTACCTTCCAACGCAGAGAAACAGCAGCAGGCTGCAGAAGGAGAAGACCAGGAAGGACAGGGCCATGGTTTTCTTGCGGCCTATGCGGTCGATAATCCACAGCGTTACCAGCACCCCTGGGGGAGGAGACCAGATGGCTGCTGGGCAGTGAGCAAAGGTGGGGCCTGCAGCAGCCACGTTTGAACAGAGGCTGAGGTGGCTAGGGGGGATATTCTGTCCTCTCTTTGAGGCTGGCAGAGGCAGCAGGCAGGGTGTGGAATGGATAGCCCCGGCCGGTGGTGGGAGGTGAAAGCAGCAGCTCAGTGTCCCAGCTGCTGAGTCCTGCCCCGCGGCTCCACACGCCCACATGCCCGGGGGCTACTGGCTGAGCAGGATGGGCAAGCAGCTCTGACATCTGCTGGCCACCCGCGGCTGCAGCAGGTCCCAACCCCACCTGCCTGGTGTTCCCCTTTGGTTCAGCTGCTGGCCGTTGCTCTCTGGTCACCTCTCTGCTGCTGGATTGAAGGGCACTTCAGAGCTTCGTGTTTTCTTTCCACTGCGTTGTTTATATGCTGATATCAAATTATTTCTCCCTTGCTTTTTGATAAAGGGAACAGATCCAGCTCTCCAGCCCTCATGATGTTAAGTACTGGGGCTGGACATAGAGCTCCAGGGAGGAAGTTCACCACTGGTTCACTAGACCCACAATCCTTTTAAAATAGTTCTGGAAAGTCATTTATGGATAAAAAGTCAAGTGATTCTGCCCCTTTGATTTAACTGTTACTCTTCCCCTAATTCCCTAAGACATTGCTTGGAGAGAATCCCTAGTCAGATGGGCCACTAGAGCTTCACAAAGCAACCACAAGTGATTTTATCTGTAGTGCTCACAGAGATATCTACAGCTGCTGTGCACTGCACACATCAAGCAGCCCCAGCAAGGAGCTGCAGGGCTGTGGGGCACAGCCAGACAGAAGAGTCCATTCCCCATTCCAACCACACTGAGCCCCTGGCAGAGAGGAACTGGTGCTTCTGGCTGCTGCTTACCAGGGAATTCAGACAGGGTTGTCCACAGCAGATCAGTGTAGTCTTCCTCAGTCAGATACTCACAGGTCAGGCTGCATTTTGCTTTAACTTCTTCCCTTCTACTGGATACTGGGGGAGGAAAAAGAGAAAATCCAAACATTGGATATGTTTTCAGTAATCTCTTTTCTGCTTCCTTTACTCCTGCTGTGGCCTCATCACTGCTGGCACTGAGAGAAGGGCTGCACTGCACAGACCCTGCTCACAGGCAAGGACACAGCTTATAATCCTGTTTGTGGCAGGCTGTCTTACCTCTGCCCCCACCACCATCAGAACAGAAAGTGACCCTTCCTTATCAGCTGTACAGGCTCAGTTACTTCTCAGCCCAGGGCTCATGGCAGTGGACAGAACTGCCATCAATAATGCAGTTTCAGCCTTCATACACTGGATACCACCACTTCATCCATGCTCTGAGAAGACTGAGTAATGTCATGTCTTTGTAGGAGTGTTTTTACAGGGCACATGCTCCTCTGTGGCAGCTAACCAGAGTTAGACCCCTCCAACACCTAACATGCTGTTTACAAGCTTGGGATCTGTGCCTGCTCCTAATTCTTCCTCTCTTCTCTCTACAATTTTCCACCTATCAGTCAGTTTTCACTAATTACAAATGTTCTGAACTCAGTCATGCCTCCCCTGGGGAATCAAACTCTTCAAGCCTCTTCCTAATGAGGTCAAAGCACTTTATTTTTTTTTTAATACAAAAATCTGCAACAAAAAGGCCAATGCCTTCCCACCATTTTCTTTTTTTCTCAGCAGGTCTTCACATCTTGAGAACCTGGGAGCTCCCAGCAGCAGCAGTGAGCTCTTATCTCAGAACTAATTAGGCCTGTCAATTCTGGAAACTTGCATTTATTCCATCACTTTTTTTTTCCTCAGGAAGAACAGATGCTTTTTCTAACAGGTCTCCCTTGAAGACTGTCTGGCTGTTTTACATTTTGGGCTCACTGTGGGACCTCTCTGCATTGTGCAGGAAATGAGGAACAGTCTATGAGAAATGTTTAAAATAAGTAACCCTCTAAGTGGATGCCTTAAAATTCAGGCTGGCAACCACAGTCCTTTCCAAACTAACAGCAGAAGGTGATCTAATGAAAGATACCCCACTACTTAATATATTATATTTAAAAAGATGGACTAATACTCACTGCTGCAGACATCTCCTGCTTGAAAGAACTCTGTAGTTAATAAAACTAACCCATAATATGAAAAAGCATTGGAAAACCTGCAAGGAAGAGAATGAGAGAGGAAGTCTCAGCTGGACAAAGCTACAGTAAACAACAGGAATCAAAATTGAACCCACTGTGTGAGGACTCCCACTAAGTGCTGCCTCAAAGCTATTTCCTATCAGCAATTAGAGAATCAAAGAGCCATTACACTGAGAATGCTGGTGACTGGGTGGTTTAATAGATTACAAATCAATACTGGTTGGGGCTTTTTTTTTTTATTAATAACTGCTGTATTGTAGTGATCCTGTCAAACACCTCCATTAAAAAGCATTTAGGATGATGCTGGCACTGAGCCATTCATATTTCCTCTTACCATATAAACCAGAGTAACAACGTGGTCCATCTGAAATGGGGTGTAAAAAGGTCCCTCATTTTCCCTCTGTCTTCCTGTTGAAAAGAAAGAGAAGTCAGATGACCAGGGCACTCGTGGGTCCTGGGCTGGGGGGAGCAGGGTGGTGAGGGACAACATGGTGCCCAGGACTAGGTGCTGTACCCTAGGGGGAGTGTTTGGCTCTCCAGCTTGTTGGAGCCACACTTGAGCTGGGATCCAAGAATTCCTCTGCCAAGGGGAATTCTTTAGGAGTATAAGTTTATCAGTTCATGCACAGTGGGACTCTATTCCTCCACATGGAAGGTGAGGATCTGTCAGAAAAAGGTGGGGCTGGAAAGAGGCAGAGCAGAACTTTGCCAATCCTCAGAGGGCAGGTGATTCAGCTCCCACAGGTTAGAGCAGCCCCTCAGGGCTTCTCATCTCAGGTAAGGTGCTGAGGAGCTACAGGAGGCCCTCCTGCAAGCAGACCCCTTTTAAACTGCATGGTTCTCAAAGAGACAGAGGGGAGTGCTCAGCCCATAAACTTGTGGTTAAGGAAAAGTACTTTCCCACCCCACCCTGAAAACAAACCCAGAACTGAGAGAGCACTCCTGCAGAGCCCATCTAAACTCCCACGACTGAACCAAGCATCCGTGAAACGAGCACAGGTCCTCTCTGATCCTGACCTTAGGAAATGAAACCTCTTGTCTCTGGTTAGGGAGACACTGTCATTACCAACAGGCTCCTGCCTAGCTTTACAGAGCTGCTTTCTGTGTTGACAGGGGTGCTGAGAAATTGGCCATATAAAGCTGAAATGAAAAAAAGATCCAATGCAATTCTTATAGTAACATGCAGCTCAGAAGTAACAGCCTGATTTACTCCCTGCTTGAGGACTGGACAGGAGCTTAGTTCTTTCCCACTCCAGAAGATCAGGATTGGATTAAAAATGAGCCAAATTCCACCTTGTCTCATGAGTTCTGGGAATTCTCATCTGAGTCCTTTGGTAGCCTCGAGGTTTGGTTTTCTTTAATAATTGTGTCTTAGAGTGAGGCTGAATAATAATAATAATAATAATTAATAATAATAATAATGATGTCTGCTTTAAAGGTCCTTTCCACTTTCAGGATTTGAATTGTAAAGAAAAATGAGAAACTAACTCTTCCTCCCTGTGAAAGAGGCATCTGTCCCCATCTCATTTTTTATTACTGGTCGAGACATTAGAATTAAATTTAACATTGATTATTTGCTTATAAAAATACACATCCATGTAGCCCAGTTTGACAGTATCCCACGTAATTAACGTGCCTGTTACCTGTACATACCTGCCTGGAAATAATTAGTTTTCCCAAGGGCATTGATGTCTGCTTTAAATGTCCTTTCCACTTTCAGGATTTGAATGTAAACAAAAAGGAGAAACTAACTCTTCCTCCCTGTGAAAGAGGCATCTGTCCCCATCTCATTTTTTATTACTGGTCGAGACATTAGAATTAAATTTAACATTGATTATTTGCTTATAAAAATACACATCCATGTAGCCCAGTTTGACAGTATCCCACGTAATTAACGTGCCTGTTACCTGTACATACCTGCCTGGAAATAATTAGTTTTCCCAAGGGCATTGGAGCTCCATTTTCTGTTGCTATCCTCTTCAAAGTGGCGATTGCTTTGTCTTGATTTCCAGATAACACATCATACCTGGCACTTTCTGGCAGCCACTGGAAGAGCAAAGCAGATCACACACACAGTGATGGCAGGAACACAGCAACAGACAAACTGGGGATTTTCTCTGTGGGCTCCCAGTGGGAAATCCAGCAGACTGCTCCCAGGGGAAAGGATTACAGAGCTGAGCTCCAGCACTTCAGAGAAGCCTCTTCCTGCCCAGTGTCAAACTCCTGATGAGGCTTTAAGAAACTGCAAAACACCACTTTCACCAGAAAGTCTAAAATCTTTCCTTGAGTTTATTCCTGAGAACTGTTGGGCATTTTTGCATGTTCTTTACACTCTCCCTTCTCAGTAGGAAAGGCAGAGCACCCAGGGCAGTTAACAAGGTGCTCTAGGCATTCCAAAATATGTATTTTTAAGCTTTTTTAAAAAGCAGCATGTTGACACCTGTGTAACTGGAGGTATTTCTGAAAACCAATGGCAATGACTAATCAGAGCTGCTGAAGAACCTGACAAGGACATACATCTTTGAGAAGAGTGATTGGCAGATATATTACCTAATAGGAATATAAATAATAATGCACTGAAGCTCAGGGTTAACTCCTAGACATCTTATCTTAGAGTCTGACCTGCATTGTGTGGATTTCACCCCTGATTTGTGTGGAGTTTTAAGAAGACAGTTATCATAAAAGTTGTGATTTGGTCAAAATGAATTCAAAATATAAAGAGCCATCATGGAAATAGCACCAGTTTTTAATAAAAATGTTGATTCCACTGAGTTGAGTTAAAACAAAATCATTAAACTGGAGAGGTCTCCAAGCCTGATTTGGTTGCACAAAATTCCAGCCCACCATTGTCCTCCAGCAATTACAGTCACAGCTCTGCCTGGAAGGTTTTTACTGGCACCCTGGTGGAACAACAGCACTTTTGTCATTATTTCAGAGGTTGCAAAGAAGACAGCAACAGAGAGCTCAAAACTGTCACCATCTCCTTCAATCAGTTAGAGAATGGGAACATACATTTGTCTTGGATACCTACAAAACACAGGAGGGCAAAGAGCAGGAGAGGGAGGGCAGAGAGCACAAGGAGCCACCGCCAGCCAAGCGTGGGCATCACCAGCACTGCCAGGAGGACCTCAAACACTGTCCCAACAGCCCAGAAGACCTGCCAAAGGGAAAAGGAACAGTCACCAAGGAGAAGAAGAGTGCTCTTCAGGCCTCCTGTGTGTCCTTCCAAGGTGTGCTCTCCTGGGACAGCAGGAGGGAGGAATGCCAGAGATATTTCAGATGGGCACCACTGCATGCAAACAGAATCCAGACATTTTAAGGGGATTTGGGTCAGTGTTGCAGAGGAGAAAATGTTCATTTCTGAAAACCTAGCATGACTTTCTCTAGACATTCATGTGTAACTGTAGGCAGCTTCTCACAAGGAGCAGAGTAGACTCCTCACATTGTGTTTCTTAAGCAAAATGACTTAATATATCTGAGTATTATTCCCAGCTACCACCAGGGGATTGATGGTATTTCTTTTCCTTACCAAAACCAAGCTACCACAGATGAAAGAAGGAATTGATCCCTTCTTACCAAACTGTGGAGCTGGCATCCTCCTGTGTATCCCACCCATGCAGGGTTATTTCCCTTTAGTTTATGAATTCACTTAGCTCATTATTTAGCAGTCAGGACATATTTCTCACCCAGGGTTGCAGCCAAACTGTGGCAGGATGGGAGTGACACAGAAAGGAGTCATTCATCTGCTGAACTCTAATGACAAAAGATTAATCAAGTGAATGTGGGACTATCTTAGGAGACTGGTTTAGCCTTGAGAAGCTGTTGCAGTTTGGTGAGGTTTTGCACAAGGCTGCTCTTCCCAAACTGACCATTAGCACCCTTCTCTGATCCCTCAACCATCCATTAAAGGGCTGCAAATTTTGCCTTCAAGTATTTATAGGACAAAATTCTGTGTCTTTGACACATTTGCATTGAACACAGGGAGCTGAATTTAGCCCTGCATTTACTGAACAGTCAGTTCTCCACTACCTGTTGCTGAGCTGTAGATTAATCACATCATGAAACCTGGTGAATTGTGCTAACAGCAGGAACTTAGGCAGCCCTGGATGCAAGTTCATTTGCAAAGGGAATGGTCCATGGATGCTTTATGCTGCTTTTGGACCTGAGTTGGTACCAGTGTGTGGGAGAAACCTCAGCTCCACACTCACTTGGACCATCAAGATCTGACTGCAGCTATGTGTGATGTTTCTGGTCAGCAGGATGGAACAGATGGAACCAGCAGCAGAATTTGTCCCTCTAGGGACCAGCACACACAGCCACACTGCTCACCTCTATTAATAAAATGCATTTTGCTCTGGCTTTCATTGGAAGGAATTCAGCATATAAGGTTACCCTGTAAAGAGTGAACAGTGAGAAAAACAGTGTTAGCACATAGAGGGAAACACCACGTTGGCATGAGAGAGGTTCAAACATTTGGTCTGCCTTTTATTAAAATTGCCAAACCCAGAGCAGTGACACAAACCCCTTCCCAGCCCTCTGAGTCAGCAAGACTGTGGGTGCTGGTTCTCTGCACCAGAAGAACCCCCATTTAGTTCCCCACTGCAATGGAGGGCAGACTCTGCTCAGTTCATGGGATTTTGTAACACAGCTTTGTGCTGTGTATGTTTTCACAGCCCTGCTCTGAGATGGGTGTTAGGTCTGTTGTTTTCAGTGTGATCCACCAAAATCCAACCCAAACTCTTGCTGGGTGAAGTATTTCTTCAGGGCTTTACAGCTGGCTCAGAGAATTTCACATGGGTCTATGCTGCCAGCTTTCAGTTCTCCAAGAGGTGAATACTTTCAAGGTCTGACCCTGTTAGTGGTATAAAATAATTTGCATTCCTTTATTGTGGGAATTCAAAAGAAAACATCTAACTCTGCAAAGTCTTCTTTTCAGGACTGTGCCAAAGAGTCACAGCACAGCTTCTCTGTGCCCATTTCCTGAGGATGAAGGCAAGGGCCAGCAGCCAGCTAAGGCTCTCACATCTTCTTCAAACTGTCTGGTAAAACTTGCCCTTCTTTGCTCCTGCTCTGCTTGCATTCCATTGATTTGTCCTGTTTCCCCCTCTGAACTTCTTAGGCTTTCTTTGATGTTTGTGACAAAGCTCCTACCAACCTGACAAATGGTGGACTGATCTCTGAGGAGCTCCCCAAAATGCAGCTCACTGAAGGGCAGTATCCTGGTAGATGGGTGATTAAGAGGAGAAGGAAGTAAAATCACATCATGAAATGGAGAGCAGCCCCCTGTATATCACAGCAGAAGCCAGGAGCTGATCAGTGCTGTGCAGAGCAAAGCTGGATGTTCAGTGAGTGAACAGTCCCACTCAGCACTAGAGAACACCTCACAGAAAATTCCCAGAGGAAGGGGCACAGCTCCTCAGGTGCAGTATGGACAGAGGGATATCTGCTACAGACAGGTAATTTATTATTGCTGGATGCTTTCTTTTTAACAGCACCTCTCATAAAACTCTCACACCCACTACAGAATGCACAATTATAAAGACACCCGTGGCCATTCCACTGAAATCCAGCCACTCACAGCCAAAGCTGCACAGCCTACTTAAGGACATTAGAAAGCAGCTACTTTTCCTGCTTCAGGCACATTTCCTCCTCTGTCAAAGGAATCACTGTTAGAGTCAGAGCAAGAAACAGACTCAGGAGCAGCAGAATCTGCTGTGAGCCCTGTAATGAGCTCCCCTCTGTCCTTGGGTGAGTGCAGGAGCTCTGAGTCTTTTATCTGGGAATGGCAACAGGAAAGACAGGATACTGACTTGCCTTGTGAAGAAGACTAAGAGCCATCTGTCAAAATTAGACTCTGACTACTCTGAACCAGCACCTCCACGAGGCAAAACATCAATTATTAGCAAGGAGACTACATGGAGAGTGAAGGGCTGTGATCTCCCCCTCACATTTATAATTCACAGCCTAGAACAGAGCTGTTTATTCCAGGTGGAAAGTTTGGAGATCTCCCTTTTCAGTCAATGGACTGACACAGAAATAGGGAAATATCCTGATGCTACCTCCTGATTGGAAATGTGCACGAGCCATCAAGATATCTCCAGTGCTCCAAGCGTGGGCTGGGTGGTTTGGGAATTCCAACTCAGGGTCAGATGACAGAAGCATTTATTCAAAATAAAGAGAAGGGGAAGTTTGGACTTGTGAATATTTACTTACGACTGAGGCACTCCTCCAATGCCAAAGCCCACCAGGCCCCTCAGCACCAAGATCCAGCTATAGACAGGTGCAAAGCCACTGAGGATCCCATAGTAGAGTGTCCACAACACGCTGATTTTGAGGCCCTGCATTTAACAAACAAGCACAAGGAGAAGAGATTCTGCTGCCACACAAATTAACCAAATGTAACACACAGCTTCAAACTCCTTTTATGCCATGGGAGATCAATTCTGGCTCTGCTTAGTTCTGCTCCATGCAGGTGGACTGTGATGTTTGTGAATATCATGCAAGGAAACATCCACACTGGACAAATGTTAGGATATATTCTAGCAGGAGCTGAGGACTTACTGTTTTTCTCCCATACTGGTCTGAAATGTTCCCCCAGAGGGTGGAGCTGGACATCATTCCCACAAACACCACCTGTGAAACACCAGACAAAAAAAATCTTCCCCTTAAGAAGTGAAAATTTCCATATGACAGCAAAGGGGACACAACTCCACAGTCAAACTAGAAAATTTCAGCTCTGATGACAGAGCAGAATGTCCCAGTGCTCTGGGTACAGTTCCTTTGCAGTAGAGACTTCTAAGGATAATTATTCACACAGTGGGATTTTTCAGAAGTCACTAACTTCACTCCCATTGAGTGGAAAGGGAAGCTGCTCTTGCCCAGGAATGGGAATGAGCATCAGCAGAGTGTTCAAGCCAAGGTCTCTCAGCTTCTCCCAGTGGTGGGCCCATTTCCCCTTCTTTTGTCAAGGCCAAGGAATCTCAACACAACACACAGAGACTGAATCTCTGCCAGGCCTCCTGTGATCACCTCACCCTCATCTGACCTGCTGATCTGTGAACTACTGACCTAGACCAGTGCTGAATATTTTTGAACTTTTGCTAAAAGGAAGAAAATTAATTATAGGAAATGATTAGAAAGCATAACTTGCCCCTAAATGGAAACCATTGTCTTGTTTCTGGGTTGGATTGTTTGGGGTTTTTTTTTTTGCTGAAGGGTTTTTACAACTCACAGAAAAATCTTTCATCATGGCAAGACCCTGCTGAGAGTTTCACAGCATTACTGAGGGGACAGGCATGTGGAGACAGGAGCAAGTGCCTGGGTTGGAGAGGGGAAGCAAACAGGTACCCTTTGAGTCAGCTTTGCAAGGAAAAGATCCATCCAGTGACAAACCAGACACTGAAACTCTGGTTTATACACCCTGTGAGCCCAGCCCTGGGAGAAGCTGAGTTCCCCAGTTCCAATGAACATATTCACCAAAAAAAGCTGATCAGTGTTGTTTGGGGTCTGCAAAACAGAGCTGTTTGAGGAGCCAGCTCACCTCCTGTCCCCTGTTGCCATCCTCAGGAGGTTGTCTCAGATCTGAAGGGGGATAAAATTAGATCTGAAAGTCTGAAAAAAGCCTGAGGTGTCAAAGAAAATATATTGTAGCCTTTTCAGAGAAAAAAGTCTAGCTGATTCTGTAGGTGGAGAGAGAAATGAAATCCTACTCAAGGAAGGTAATGACAAAACCCAGGCACGTTTTCTCCATCAGCTCATGGGAATTCTGTCTGAGGAAGCAGTGCATACACGAGCAGTAAGTGGGGAAAGAAGTAGTTCTGTTGGTCAGAGCTTTTGCCTTGTGTCCACTGACCAAGGATAAAACTGTGCTGAGCTGAGAGAAGGAACAAGACCTTCCTTCATTCAGCTATGGGAGAGGACCTGATTGTAACTAATCCAATCGTTGGAGCACGTTGACCAATTTACACACCACCACTCATGGTACCAAAAGCTAAAGGAAAAGGAAATGGAGGAGTTAAAAAGTGCATGCCACACAACTGGGGGATATACTGAGAGAAGGGTCCCAAAACTACTTCTTCTTATCCCTAAAGGCACTGCACATTTCCCACACCATAACACCATCCTCAGAGGTGGTATCATAAGAGCCCTGCTTGCAAAGGTCACTGGAGGATCCAGCTCAAACAGCAACTGCTTGCTCTCTCTCACACTCCCAGCCTGTGTGTGTACAAGGAAACACAGATGTGGTGAGACAGAAAGGTTTTCAAAACAGATGGTTAAAATTTACCAATCCTTTTTTCCACCTAATCAGATGGTTAGGATGAGTCTGGGTCAATCCACATATTTATCCTGGAAACTACACAAAACTTTGAGCCTGAAACTTGCAAAACTTCCTCAGTTTTTACTGAATTTTATTTCTTCAAGCTCTGGCTTTTAAAAAAGACTCATATAGTCTTCTGAGCTGAAGGCACTCTGCAAAGGCCACGAGCAGATTTAACTCTGGGGTATAAGGCAAGGTTTCTGACTGACAAGGAGTGGGAAAACCTCACAGAATACAGGAGCTGTCAGTTATTTTTCCTACCGATGTGAGCAATGCAACCTGCCAGCTTGGTAATCGCCACTCACAATGAAGCTGAGGAGCTAGGATACTTAAAATCATCATTTCCATAGCATCTGCCATCTAGAAGGGTGAAAAAGAAACAAAAGTAAGCAACTGCCTGACAATCACAATCATTAGCAGTCAATAAGACATCTTCTTGAAATGAACTGTGTTTCTGCTCTGTGCCACTCCTGCTCTGCAGGTGAAACACAAGGTTTCTATCTGTAAGGTCCAGTGGATGGACATAGTGTAGAGAGAAAAACACAGCAGGGGCACTTTAGAACTCATTCCTGATTATCAGGACATTTAGTAACTTCCTCCCCTTCTCCCTTATTACTTCTGGGTTTGTATCAAATATATTGATACATCACCTGTAGATCAAATCCCACGACTCATGATCTAAACCAGGGCCAGTTGTAACCTTATGTGCAGAGGATATCTGGTAAATGCAGGCTTCAGATACCATGACCTTAAAATATGCCACAGCAGATGTGACAGACAGTGCTTCAGAAACAGCAGCAAAGGGAAAACAAAGCCTGTCTTTCTGCTCCTGCTGTCAAGGTTAAATCTCCAAGTCCTGGGCTGCTGTTCACCTGAAGCTGAGCTTACAATAACACTGACTAACACAGAGGAAACAGAGATTGTAGCTAAAGGGATGAACGTGGTGAGTGCACTGCATGAAAACTGTGAAGTAAAGAATCAAAATGACCTTTCAAACCCTGATTTATAAAAACTTCACAGGCACAGAAGTCAATCAACTACTCACAAGTCTGAGTCCAGCTGTCATTTTAGAATTTCAAGTAAAACTCCTTCTTTATTGTACAATTGTCCAGTGTTGCAGAGTTACCTCTTTGGAGGCTTTTTGTCAACAGAGAATTGCTGCACTATTTAAGTTGCTGAGCTTCTCTACCTGGTGATCATGCAATTGACCTTGATAACAATTACTTGCCCATGCTAATCCAGTAATAACAGAGAGCTTCCACTGGAACTTGCCAAATCCAATGGCTTCCACCGCATCTTCCACCATGAAAGTATCTAGAAAGAAAACAATTTGAGAGCAAAGGTGGTTTCCTTGCCTGGTAAGAGCCATCCCTTGACACAGCAGTGCTGCAAATGAAATTAATTATTCAAGGGGTAATCTACTGAGATTGAAAATATGGAACAGAGAGCTGCTTGTTTCCATTCAGTTCCTACTCTGGAAAAAAATCTCTGTGTTCTTCAGGAATTGTGCTAAAGCCCAAAGAATTCTAAATATTCCAAGCATATTTTATTCAAGCAGAAGTAGACCAGAGTAGCATCAATCAATGACTCCAGCACATGTTCAGCCTCTTACTCCTGGGAGTGACAGCACCAATCTCAGCTTCCTCAGGGGAGAAGCAGGGGAGCTGTTCACCAGCAAGCCATGAGAACTGCAGGAGAAGTTCAGGGCATGCAGAGCCAACCTTTAATTACTTGAGTCCAGAATTTGTCCAAAACACATAGGTCTTAAAACATCCTTCTGTTTAAAATGCTGATGGTTCTTGTTTCCCACCCACTGCCATGACCTCATTACTTCGTTCTCTCTGGCAAATTCCTTTGCTCAAGGGCAAAGTGAAATATGCACCAAAAATGCATTTTGATATTTGGCTTGTTGAAGTCTATTTAAGTCTTGAGATTTTAACACTTCCTGCAGTTTAAGAAGTGCATTGGCCACAGAAAAGCTTTACCTAGCAAAGAGTTGGACATCCTCACAAAGCAAATGACCAAAACACAAACTACAAGGAAATTAAATGAAATTTAACTGATAAAATGCAGCAGAGACATCATTAAACCTCAGTTTGTGACTTCAGCCCAGGCCCCTGAGAAGATGGCACTGCAGCTCAGCACCCTGGGCTGCTGCATCTCCTGCACTTCTTTGGGCAACGTGCCCACAGGAATCCTACATATACCAGCAGTCTTGCACTGCTCTGCTCAGGCTGTTGAGAAACTCACCGAGGTGACTCTGTCCTCTTCTGCCTTCTTATTGCATCAATATGTTCACAGAAAAGCCCCTAATAGCCACCCTATAAAATTTCAGTATGCCTTGTGCCAAGACAAAGCCAACACTTCCCATATCTTCTCAGTGGTGCTGCCTTCAGGGCAGCCAGCAGAAAGCAGAGGATAGTGTGTGCACCCATCCTGTCCCTCCTGTCCCCCAGGCAAGGAGGAGACAGGAGTGGTGCAGAGTGTGAGCCACAGGTACCTGCTCCTGGAAACCCAGAGTTTTAGGAGTGCTAAGGGAAACTAATTCCAACCTCCTGCATCAAATAGGTGTGGGGACAACTGCACACACAGCTCCTTCAATATCAGCTGGTGATATAAACCCAAACACACACAGCACCCCTCAGAGAACAAGGGAACCAAGTCAGGCTTTTCAGGTGTAACACAAAAGCACTTAAACAAGTCACCAGTCCCTTCCCAAACCTGAACCCATGCAAATGTGCTGGGCTGGATTGAATTGAAGTCTTTGGTACATTGGAAAGCTGAGCTCATGCCTCTTTCTGTGATACAGGACACAGTGTTGGGTTGTTTTAATCATTTCCAGTAACAGTCTGCACAACTGAGTTTTCTTACAGTGCAGTTCAACTTTTTCCAACAGCACACTGTTGGGCAGAAAAAGAAGAAAAACAAGCAAAGCATCCTGGATGTTATGAATCCTGCCCTGTGTTAGTTTCCTTCTTCCACCTGGGCACCTTTAACCCCTCTAAACCAAACCTATCCAACCTGGTGGTGAGAGGGCTGAAATGAGGAGGCCACACCTTTTCCCCTGCCAGGGAAAACAAGAAGCCTACTCACCGTCGGTGGGGTTGGCAAACTCTTTTGGCACTGCAGCTCCATCCTCCAGCTCCACAGGCTCTAGCTCTGTCTGCACACCCTCGATGTGCACCTGGTGCTCTCCAGAAATGACATCTTCATCTGACCTCGAGCTCTCCCCCGTGCGCCGGAACTTCACCACCCTGGCAGCACAGACACAAGGGTTCACCCTCTGCTCACTCTCTCTGTGAGCTCCCAGCTCTGTTTGGTTCCTCTCAAAGGCTGTTTTGGGGGCAGGCAGGTTTCTCCCCACCCTGCTGTCTCCATCTCACTCTCAGCGAGCTGGGACTTTTCTCTGTTAGATTGAGTATCCTGTTGGGTGGCACCAGCTCTGGGAAAAACTGCAGAGTGCACTGCTATGCAACATACTCATCATTTTTGGGTAAAGAGGATGTTATCCTGCTAACTATAAAGGTATAAAAAAAATACAGGCTATAAAAGTAGGATGAATTACAGATATTTAAAGATAACCAGTTTTGTTTGGCCATACTTATTGCGAACTAGGCACGTTTGTGTCATGGAATTTCTGGTGCTTTGCTCTTGTCAGAAGAGCCAAATTCTTCCCACGTTGTTTTCCTCAGAAGGATCCCTCTCTTACAAGCAGTGGAACTCCTGAAATTCATCAGATTTTAAAACACTACCCAGTGAAGCACAACTCAGAAGATAATTCAGTGAACGGGCTGATTTTTTTCTCCAGCATGATGATAATTCTGTGACTATGATTGGTGTCATCTCTGGTCTTAAGCTGGAGTCTTTAATATCATGTAATTAATTAAATACCTGTCGTTTAAGAACCTATTTGAATATTCTATTGGAATAGATCTACTGTGCTTAATGTAAGGGATCCCTCAAGCTTCCTTCACTTGAACTGCAGCACCAGTATAACTTCTGCACCTCACAAATTTCTGGGGCTTCAGTGAAACAGCTTTTTGGAAATAAATTATCCTTGCCACCACCTCTTCTGACCTTCAGTGTCTGAATATTTTAATTCTGCAACACAGATCAGCAGAGAGCCTCTTGAACTTCAGTTTGACCCTTTGGTTTGAGGGCAGCAACACCAAAGGCCCAGCCCCCCTGGAGCCCCAGCACACTGACACTTCTGGAGGTGATCAGAAAGACTCCCCACACTTGGCACCACCTCAGCTCTGATTTTCTCTTAGAAGTGCTGATGACACACGAGCAATAATGAATATAAGGGCAAAGGACAAAACTTTTAAGTGGATTTTGGTCCACTGGTGGACGAGAGGATGGAGCAATGAACATCTCAGCCACCCCTGGGGTTTGTTAGAGACATCCTGGCCACCACCAGCCAGGCAGTCCAGCTCAGGGGTTCACTGCAGCAGAAACAGAAAGCAGAGGGATACAAAACATTCTACTGGGTTTTTTTTCACACAGATTATTTCTTTCCCTCAGCACATCCCATGGGGGGTTTCTCCCACATTCTGACCTGGAGCATGCAGAGGGTCCTCCTCTCAGTTACAAGAAAAGACAAACAAAACTCCTCTGAATCAGGCTCCTATTTAGCTCCACTGAGAAACCCAATTTTAAATCTCTTAATCTGTTTTGTTTTTTTTTTTTCACCTCAGTACAAATGTCTCAGCTTGAATTTTCTTTTGCTGACCCTATAGGACCAACACAAGAAATTACCAGTCTTGTCTTCAAGTTGTCACTGAAGATAAAATCCTTCTACAACCTACAGACTCTCAGCAAACAACCACTGACACTTGCACACCCAGGAGATGACTTTTTTATTACAAAGAGCAATTAATATCAAAGGACTGTTCATATCTTACCTGCAAAAGCTTTACAAGCACTTGGTTTAACCATACAGGAGGTAAACCTTGACACTTGTATTAAAGGAAGAGTATTACTATAACTTCATCAGTCTCAGAGCTGGGTGTGAAGTTCAGTGAAGTGCAAGGACACCTTTTCTCCAAATTTCCAGAGGTCTGAAGTGCCATTACCCCATGGGATTATGACTGAAAATCATTCATACATCTATGCTGGCAACTGTTCAGTGTCCCAGTGAGCCACAGGCAAAATAAACACACCAATAAAAACCCTCCTGAGTTTAAAGTCCCTAATCCCTAAACCCCTGTATTCCTGTTTCCTCCTTTGTAATATGTTGCAGTAGACTTTCAGAACTGACAGTTCTGGAGATGATGGTTCCAGGTGCTATACAAAAGCAGTGACTGAGCTGAAAACTGTACAGACTCCAAGGGCAATCTGAGTAGAGAGCTATCTGGTCATACTGCCCATCACAGGAAAGAAAAAAATACATTTATCACACAAGAACCTATGAAACAAATTGACACAAATGAAGAAAATTGCACAAAGTGATCTCTGCTGTTCCAATACTTGCAAAATTCTTCCCAGCTGAGACACCTCAGGGAGCTGCATTTGTTTGCAAGATCTCACAGCACTGAATAAGTCTGACACCTACATGGAAAGGTTCTTTAGAACATTTTCCTGTGTTTTGGCATTCTTTTTAAAAAAAAATAGATGGGGAAAAACTGCCTAATGAAATCACAACTTCCTCGGTTTACTGACAAGCTGGGTGCACCCAAACGATGTGTTTAAACAGAGGAGTTCATGTCCATTTTCCCAACTTATTCAGAATGTTACGGGACAGTTTGCTCTGTCATTGACACAAGCTCATTAATATTTCAAATCAGTTTTAAGTATTTATTCCCTGCCTCGCAGAGTCAATGATTTATAAATAAGAATACGTTTTGAAGCACCCGATAATGGAGCATTAGGAGAAACGCACTCGGTTTTAAAGGGAACATTTTGCATTCACGCAAAGGAAAGGAAACACCAGCGTTAAAAGGCAGCGACGCTTTTATCACCTTTTTGCACAGACCCAGCAACCGCATCCCAACCGCACAGAGTCCCTCACAAACAACAGCCTTTCCCCCGTGCAGCAGCGTCTGCTTCTCCAAAACCTCCAGTCAGCAGACCCCGGGGAGCCTGGCTGCCAACACACCCCTGCAAAAACCTGTCCGGATCCGCGGCCGGCTGGCGGCACCGGGGGGAGGCAGCGGAGGACGATGCGTTATTTACCGAGGCGATGCCCCTCGCCGAGGCCAC